AGATAGATAGATAGATAGATAGATAGATAGATAGATAGATAGATAGATAGATAGACAGATAGATAGATAGATAGCTAGGTGGGTAGGTTGGTAGGTGGGTGAGTAGGTTGGTAGGTAGGTAGGTAGGTATGTTGGTAGGTAGGTAAGTTGGTAGGTAGGTAGGCAGGTAGGTAGGTAGGTAGGTAGGTAGGTAGGTAGGCAGGTGGGTAGGTAGGTAGGTAGGTAATACATATAAATAGCTCTACAGCGAGCTCTATGCGCCTTACATTAAATTTTTTTTGTCCCAGCAGACTCTAGAAACTGTGAAGTCTACAGTGCAAACAACATACAAAGTGGTCAAGTACAAACAAACTTAACATACTTTTCGCTATCTATATCCTGGTGCCCATTCCGATCTTAGTAAAGTGAAGAAAGTTCGTGTAAAGTGTCATTACAAGGACACACGCTGGGGCTCTGACAGGATTCAAACCCACGACATTCAGAGAAAGCGTCAAAGCCTCTCACTTTCGGAAAAATAGAAATCAAAAGCTGCACACAATCAGAGCCGCTCACTCCTTAAAGGTATTGATATAATTTGATTGTCAATAGTATCAAGCAGTTACATTCTCTTGGTAAAAAAATTACACCACATTATTTCCATAAAACCTAGTGGCATGAAAACCATTTTCAATCATTGGTTACTGTTATACAGATATAAAGTTTGGTTTTAATACTAACATTTTTACGTCTTTTATTGACATTGCAAGGATTTATTCTGCACTAATTGAGCCCTAAGAGTTCACCGAGTGTACCTAAGACGGCAATCGCTCAGGAACGTAGTATGTCGTAACACGACGACAGAAGGGGAGTGTGTAAACAATATCACTCCTCTCTCGATCACCATTGCTAACACACGATCAGAGTTTTTGTTGGTGGGTGGTTGGCGGATGCTCTGGTGTGGTTTGCTCCTTCTTTCCTATCAAACACCTATCGTCCTTATCTCCCCTTCTTCTTTTTTATGTTTGTTACTCTCTTGTAACACCTCTAATCTTCCAGCGCTCATATGACCTTATGCAGTTGCGAGCGCCGTAAAACCACTACTAAAAAAATGAGTTTTTGTTATACTACTCAAAAGGAAACTTTACATTCATGGCCAACAGAAAGATTAGCTCTCACAATAACTGGCATTGCCGCACGAAGACCTTCAAGGCGCGGGCTAAGACAAACATTATTTTAAAGATTACATATTTGTACAGGTAATGGGTTATAAAATATTATGGACATCACCTTTTTTAAAAAGTGCGCGGCTCTGACTATAGAGTGCGGCTTCGTAATTTTGTTTTCGAAAACGCACAGCTTTGACTGTTTACCCACCTTTATGTTACTGCCAAATCACAAGAACACCGATGCCACACACACACGCACACGCACACACACACACACACACACATACACACACACACACACACTCACTCACACAC